GATTTGGCTGTACAGTACAAAGTCATCTGTGTTCTGCAGGACAGATGTTAATTTACTGTAATTTGTAATCATGAAAGCCTTACAGTGTCACTAAACCCAGGACCCTGTATTATTATACAGTATTAATATAGCGCCAAAGGGTTTGCTCAGCGCTGTACAATAGCAAGGGGGACAGAACATGAGACAAGACAGAAACAATACAATACACGAGGGGTTCGAGGGACCTGCTCTTTCGAGCTTACAATCCAGGAGGGAGGGAAAAGTGGTACAGGAGGAAATGGCTGTGGGGGATGGAGTGGTGGGAGGAGTGGAGGAGGTCAGTTGTTAGGTGAGGGTGGGGTAGGCTTCCCTGAAGAGGTGGGTTTTCAGGGTGCGCCTGAAGGTGAGGAGGGTAGGTGACAGTCTGATGGATTGGGGTAGGGAGTTCCAGAGGTTGGCGGAAGTCCTGGAGAAATCCTGCAATCGGGCGTGGGAGGAGGAGATCAGGGAGCTAGAGAGTAGGAGGTCCTGTGAGGAGCGAAGGGCACGGGTAGGGTAGTATTTGGGTATCAGGTCGGTTAGGTAGTTTGGGGCGGCATTGTGAATGGCTTTGTAGGTCAGCGTTAGCAGTTTGAATTTGATGCGCTGGGCAATCGGGAGCCAGTGAAGGGATTGGCAGAGGGGGGTTGCAGATGTGGAGCGGTTGGTGAGGTGGGGGTGAGTCTAGCCGCTGAGTTCAGGATAGACTGGAGTGGGGATAGGGTTTGTTTGGGTAGGCCAGTGAGAAGGGAGTTGCAATAGTTCAGGCGTGAGATGATGAGGGAGTGTACGAGTTGTTTAGTAGTGTCTGGGGTGAGGAATGTACGTATCTTGGAGATGTTGCGGAGGTGGAGCCTGCATGATCTTGATAGTAATTGGATGTGATTCACTATATATGGTCCTCCACAGTACACAGAATATGGAAATGCAATTATTTTATTAAATATAAACTGCAAAATAACTTTTCTCATCTGCATTATATAGCACTCTTGTGACTTCTATCAGTGTCCAGCTGCGCACTGGCTAATTTTGTAGGAGGCGTTTTCATTTTCCTCTGACTGTCCATATGTCCATCCATTAAGCATGTGCAGAGTGCCTCCTAGGGCTCTGTACTATCAGCAGATGAGTTGGGGACTGTGGAAGAAGGGAAAGTTCAGAGAAGACAAGATCAAACAGCCTTTTTACACAATGCAGAGTATTAATAGCTTCTTAGGTTCCACAGTGAACATAACAAGCATGCTTTACTGCATGTACAGACTGATTTTACTGTTGTGGGTTTAGTAACACTCAGTGAAAAGGATAAACTAATCCACTACTGAAATTCTCATCTTCTTTATCAGAAATCAGTAATTCCTCTGCAGCACGAGCAGGACTGGATTTCTAGTACTGTGTCCTGTAGGCATATAAGTGTTGGTGCTCAAAGCAAAACCTTTATGCTAGGGTCATTTCTTTTATGTTACAGGCAATCTATACAATGCTTTTAGGAAACAAATGAAATTACAGTTTTTTTTAAATATCATACATACTATTCCTAGGCATTGGATATCATATCTAGGCATGTAACTAATAAGCGCGCGCACACACACACACACACACACACACTGTTGCCAAAAGTATTGGGACTCCTGTCTTTACACACTTGTGAACTTTAAAGGCATCCCAGTCTTAGTCCGTAGGGTTCAATTTTAAGTTGGCCCACCCTTTGCAGCTATTATAGCTTCAACTCCCTCTGGGAAGGCTGTCCACAAGGTTTAGGAGTGTGTCTATGGTAATGTTTGACCATTCTTCCAGAAGCGCATTTGTGAAGTCAGCCACTAATGTTCTCTGCTCTAATTCATCCCAAAGGTGTTCTATCAGGTTGAGGTCAGGACTCCGTGCAGGCCAGTCAATTTCCTCCACCCCAAGCTCGCTCATCCATGTCTTTATGGACCTTGCTTTGTGCACTGGTGCGCAGTCATGTTGGAACAGGAAGGGACCATCCCCAAACTGTTCCCACAAAGTTGGAAGCATGAAATTATCCAAAATGTCTTGGTATGCTCATGCCTTAAGAGTTCCCTTCACTGGAACTAAGTGCCAAGCCCAACCCCTGAAATATTTGTAGAAGCAGTTTGTATACCTAGGTGCTTGATTTTATACACCTTTGTCCATGAAAGTGATTGGAACACCTGGATCCGATCATTTGGAGGGGTGTCCCAATACTTTTGGCAATATAGTGTGTGTGTGTGTGTGTGTGTATATATATATATATATATATATATATATATGTGGCAGTGCGGTGTCCTGCCACGGTCAAAATAAAGCTGAAAACCCTGGATTCTCAACTAGGCAGGTTGAGGGGCTCCAGAGAGTTTATGTATTGCAGAGGAAACTGACTTTTCCGTTTCCTCATTTATTCATTAAGTTTGTTTTGCGATCTGGAGCCTGGAGATTTCAAAGAAATCTGGGAGGGATGAAATCTCCAATCCGGGGTCCATGTTTTGAAAACCCCCAGCACACTGATTGCACAGGTGTGTGCAGGCCTTTTTATAGAGGCCTAACCATAGTTCTGGGCTCCAACCCGGCAGATAGGAGTCAGGAGGGCTCCACCCTGGCAGACGGGAGGTCTCTGCCTTGGAGTCAGGTGGAAGCCAGACTAGCTGTGTGCTAGTGGCCACAATTTGGGAAGAGTCTGCAGGAGACAGACAGTGAACTGCGAACAAGCCAGGAGGCTGAATACTGTTAATTTGTTTGATCGTGGATACCCCTGCGTGGGAAGCATTTGTGTTATTTGAACTTTCTTGTAAATAAAAGTGGGCAAAAAAGCCCTTAAAGAAGCGAGTTGCTGTGTGCTTGGAAGAAGCTCTACCACTTGAAGGGAGTTCCCACAATATATATATATATATATATATATATAATATATATATATATATACACATATACACACACCCACAGTATATATATTATTTTTACAGGAGGGAATGCGTGAAATTAGGAATTCTATAGATTTCCTAAACATTTTCTTGTTTTAATGGTTTTAACCTGCATTAGTATATAGTGACAGAAATATCTGTAATGATAATTTTAACAGAAACATGTGCACAGTGATTTACAGGAAAAGTCGCCTGCTTGTCCCACCTTAAAATGATTGTAAACCCTCATGTCTCAGGTTTACAACCACTTTAAGACGTAAGCCTATTGTGCCTAATTGCCAATTCAAACCCCATTGAATACTAATGAACTTAGAATAAAGAATTATTTCTTGAAGGTTAATTAAGTATTTGCAAAATATTAATCTTGCTTAAAATGCAAAACAATTATTATAACATGGTGTCAGGAAAGGCTTGTCCATAGTGCAAGTGAGGGTTCGCAGTGCAAAAATATGCGCATGCACAGAACAATAACAGGCCACACAGATGTGCATGAATTTGGGCAACAGCGTACACAATTGCGCATGCAAACTCGGGCATCCAGGCACACGCCAGTCACTAATGCTGGCGCCAAAGGGCTATTTAAACTGGCTGCAGTCTTGTCTCACTGCTGTTTGGTCTGCAGATTCTGAGTGTGTTTCTGATCCTTGTGCCCGACCTCTGATATTACCTGGCTTGTTCTTGATCTTTGCTTGTGTGCTACCTGCCCTGACCCCGACTTGTCTTGACTACTCTTCTGCTTCCTGATCTTGTCCGATTGTACCTCTGCTGATGAATTGGCCTGTGACCTGACTTTTCTGACATCTGCAGTCTATGCTTGATCTGCCCAACCGTTACCAACCTGGCTCGTCTGACTTCGCATCTGCCACCCTGCTTGCTGCAGTCCATCAGTTCGGTAAGTCTGCATCTGGATTCTGCTTCCTGCTGTAACCTATAACCAAGCAAGATCCATGTCTAGTTGTCCACCTTCAACCTGTTCTGCTTCTTCACCTGCTTGTGGACTGCTACTCACACACACACTACTGGACTGATCACAGGCACTCATACCTTGCTGTGCTCCTGTGGCTACTGTCCCAACACCGGAGGCCCTTGAGCTGGAGCTGTACGAGATGCCTGCCTCTTCACATCAGGCTCACTATCTAAGGTTCACGACACATGATTTGCATTTAATATAACTTGATTTAGACAGTTGTTGAGCAGGGAATATGAGTGATAGGAATACTATTTTTTTTTCTTGGCTATAATCCTAAACATTTGTGCAGACAACTTTATACGACAACAGCCTGAAATCCAGAACTGTATCACTTTGAGGAATCAGGTGCAACGTTTAACTCTCAGCAGAAGCAAGGAATAGAAGAAAAGGTTATGTTAGCAAATGTTCCTATTTGCCTAAATATATTCAAGAATCAAAAAGGTGTGTTAATAAGGCACCATATTTAAAGAGGAATGCAGGCTTTCAAACAACAAAAAGTGCCCAAATTTCCAGATTGTCATAAATCATTTTTTTGAATTAATGGGTCTTCAACAAGGCATTACTGCACTTGTTGCCTACTACTGGCAAAAAATACAAAAGCTGTTCTGTACCTACTAATGCAGGCCATAGATGGGGAGAAAAACGGCAGATTTTTCTTTTAAAAAACGAAAAATCGGTCGTTCAAGCGGCCAACGTTACCATCAATGGTAAAAAAAAAATCGGCCGATTTTCATCCCGTCTACAGCCGGCAAAAAGTGTCCCTGCAGAGAGCTCCGCTCTTTCTGACAGTTCTTTGACAGTTCCTTGACATTTACAGCGGTTGCAACATTGTATCTATTTGTTTCCATTTAGGATACAGATGGTTTTTATTTGGAAACAAATAGATACAATGTTGCAACCGCTGTAAATGTCACGGAACTGTCAAAGAACTGTCAGAAATAGCGGAGCTCTCTGCAGGGACACTTTTTGCCGTACTGGAATTCTTCTTATTTTTCATCCTACTTCTTCTTCTTTTTCATCATCATCCTCTTCTTCTTCTTCTTCATCATCATCATCCTCTTCTTTCTTCATCATCATCATCATCATCCTCTTCTTCTTCTTCATCATCATCATCCTCATCTTCTTCATCATCATCATCCTCATATTCTTCTTCTTTTTTTTTCTTCTTCATCATCTTCTTCATCATCATCATCCTCATCTTCTTCATCATCATCCTCCTCATCTTCTTCTTCATCATCGTCCTCCTTCTTCTTTTTCTTCATCATCATCATCATCCTCTTCTTCTTCTTCATCATCATCATCCTCTTCTTCTTCTTCTACTTCTTCATCATCATCCTCTTCTTCTTCTTCTTCTTCATCATCATCCTCTTCTTCTTCTTCATCATCATCCTCTTCTTCTTCTTCTACTTCATCATCATCATCTTCTTCTACTTCATCATCATCCTCTTCTTCTTCTTTTCCTTCTTCATCATCCTCCTCTTCTTCTTCTACTACTTCTTCATCATCCTCTTCTTCTTCTTCTACTACTTCTTCATCATCATCCTCTTCTTCTTCTACTACTTCTTCATCATCATCCTCTTCTTCTTCTACTACTTCTTCATCATCATCCTCTTCTTCTTTTTCTTCTTCTACTACTTCTTCTTCATCATCATCCTCTTCTTCTTCTACTACTTCATCATCATCTTCTTCTTCTTCTTCATCATCATCCTCTTCTTCATCTTCATCCTCTTCTTCTTCTTTTTCTTCATCATCATCATCCTCTTCTTCATCATCATCCTCTTCTTCTTCATCATCATCATCCTCTTCTTCATCATCATCATCCTCTTCCTCTTCTTCTTTTTGTCTTCCTCTTGCAGGTCACTGCTCATGCGCAGATTTTTTTTCGGTAAAAAATCAGACGATTTGCCCATTATTGCCGCGAAAATCGGCCGATCGGCAAAATCGGCCGATTTTTTCCCCAACTTTACCGATAAAAAAAAAACGGCCAAAATACCGAAAAACGGCCGAACAAAGAGCCCACTAACGATCCGAAAATCGGCCGATTTTTTCGACCCATCTATGGCCTGCATAAGTCATACTGAAAGGGACCTAGGTTTATCAAGTTCAGCTGAAAGAAAAAAAAATGCTAAAACCTCAATTGATCCAGAGAAATTCTAAAAATCTCTTCCAATTTCTTCAGCAGGGAAGACAACTCTGAATAATAGATTACACCACTCATAAAATATGCCACTGTTAAGGTTACATTCATAGCGGAGTTTGTGTGTAGATCAATTTCTGCATTCAGAGGCAGCTAAACATGGCCCCTGGATGCAGCAACAGGCTCTACTATGGCTGCTCCCTAGTCTGCTCCTAGTCTGTCCTGTACAGAGATCTGGATACAGGATGAAGCATCCTTCCTAAAGCGAGCCATACATGGGTCGACGTCTGAAAGACGTTTCTAAAGAATCTAAGAATTTTCAATTGAATTTCACAGCATCAGTGGGGGAACAGCAGCGGATGATTTTTTGAGCGACCATCAAATATCATTTTTGAAAAAGGAACACATTTCTAATCAATGATGGGAGAATCATGCAAGAAATGTAATTGAAAAAGAAATGAGCATGAGCTGTGACCCAGAAAGAAAAGAAAATTCTTGGCCATGAAAATTCTTTTTTGTAGCAACATGAGGTGAAATTTAAAGGCTTGGCTGTTCGAATTTCAAAATTGGTGGCACTATCGGATTACAAAATTTCTGATTTTCTAAAGAAAATTTGTTTGGAATTCAACCCATGTATGGCCTGCCTAAGCAACCTCGGAGTTTTATAGAGCACAGAGTACTCAACCTGCTTCAGCTGAGCTAATTAACCTCTCAGTGAGTCAAGCAAGCTCACTACACAGCATAAAAAGGAAAACTATTTGTATACTGCATGAACCTGGGACAAATATACCTCCCATCCTGGACACAACCCATAGTTTTTCCAGGCTTACTGTCACAAGTTGCTATTACAATTAGCCATAACATCTCCTGCCACTATTACCAGATCCTTCCAGTATTACTAGCTTCTGCAACCCTGCTGGCCTGACACTATACCTTTTTCCTGACATCACTACTAGAAATTTGTACTGCCTTGCCATGTATCAATTAAAAGAACACGATTCTTGTAGAGTTAATCTAGCAAAGATGGTTAGGATATATGGCTAGAGAATGTGACAAGACCAGTGTCCCTTGATATGTTTCATTGTTATGTGCAGTGACTTTCTCAAGTGAGCTGCTATTGTCAAGTAACCTTGACACATGGACCTTGGTGAACTATCAAAATAATATATGTGTAGTCCATATCTGGCATATTCTGCATAGTACTACAGTTCTGTTTATGAAGAACTAAAGTTGCGGTGAGGTTTGCATCTTTACTATGGACCCTGGGATGTTACTATGACATGGCTGGATACCTTCTTTCACTGTTTACGTCAAGAGGCAATGAGGTTTAATACCAAGATGCAATGAGTTTTAATGCTCTCTACAAATGGATGCGTCAGTGCTGACATACTACAGCATTATTTTGGGGCTTGTATACAAGTCCTAATACCTCACAGAGACAACAGGCATCTGTATATTTTTATTTGACTTTACCTGTACCTGATGGCATACACCTACGGGTCCTTAAAGAACTGAGCTCTGACATTTCAAAGCCATTGTTTCAAATGTTTAGGGATTCTTTAATGACTGACATAGTACCACTGGATTGGCGTAAGGAAGGCCAATGTGGAGCCAATATTTAAAAAGGGGTCAAAATCTTTACCAAGTAATTATAGACATGTTAGTTTAACGTCTATAGTTTGGAAGATACTGGAGAGTTTAATAAAAGACTACATAGATGAGTTCTTGCTGGAAAAAAATATTGTAAGCAACAGACAGCATGGATTCATAAAAGACAGACGTTATCAAACAAATCTGATTTCTTTTTATGAGGAGAGGCAGTGGACGTGGTATACTTGGATTTTGCAAAAACGTTTGACACAGTACCCCATATACGGTTAATGTGTAAGGTAAAGTCTACAGGCTTGGAAAAATGTGTATGTAAATGGGTTGAAAATTGGCATAAAGATCGTATTCAAAGAGTAGTAGTTAATGATTCATACTCTGAATGGTCTTGGTGTCATCAGTGGTGTACCCCAAGGTTCAATGTTGGGACCCTTACTTTTTAATATATTTATAAACGATATAGGGTCTGAGATTAAAAATCCTATTTCAGTCTTTTGCAGATGACACCAGGCTGTGCAGTGGAATAATGTCCTTACAGGATGTCTTCAACTTACAAGCCGACCTCAATGCACTGTTTAATTGGGCAACTATGTGGCAAATGAGGTTTAATGTTGATAAATGTAAGGTTATGTACTTGGGGGCTAAGAATATGCATGCATCATACATACTAGGGGAGTAGAACTGGGGGAATCAATGGTGGAGAAGGATCTGGAAGTTTTGGTAGATCACAAGCTTAATAATGGCATGCAATGCCAAGCTGTGATTTCTAAAGCGAGCAAAATCCTCTCTTGTATTAAAAGAGGAATATTATTAATATTATTATTATACAGTATTTATATAGTGCCAAAAGGTTTGCTCAGCGCTGTACATTATAGTGGGGGACAGAACATGAGACAATACAGTAACAATACACGAGGGGTTCGAGGGCCCTGCTCTTTCGAGCTTACAATATAGGAGGGAGGGGAAAGTGGTACAGGAGGAAGTGGCTGTGGGGGATGGAGTGGTAGGAGGAGTGGAGGAGATCGGCTGTTAGGTGAGGGTGGGGTAGGCTTCCCTGAAGAGATGGGTGTTCAGGGTGCACCTAAAAGGTGCGGAGGGTAGGTGACAGTCTGATGGATTGGGGTAGGGAGTTCCAGAGGATGGGGGAAGTCCTGGAGAAGTCCTGCAGTTGGGCGTGGGAGGTGGAGACCAGGGAGCTAGAAAGTAAGAGGTATTGTGAGGAGCGAAGATTATGGGTTGGGTGGTATTTGGGTATCAGGTCGGTGAGGTAGTTTGGGGCAGCATTGTGAATGGCTTTGTATGTCAGTGATAGTAGTTTGAATTAAATGCGTTGGGCAATCGGGAGCCAGTGGAGGGAAAAACAGAGGGGGGTGGCAGAAGAGGAGTGGTTGGTAAGGTGGATGAGTCTGGCCGCTGAGTTCAGGATAGACTGAAGCGGTGATGAGGTAGGCTGGTGAGAAGGGAGTTGCAGTAATCCAAACGTGAAATAATGAGGGAGTGAACGAGTTGTTTAGTAGTGTCTGGGGATAGGAATGGATGTATTTTGGAGATGTTGTGGATGTGGAGCCTGCATGAGTTTGCCAACGATTGGAAATGGGGTTGGAAGGACAGGTTTGAGTCTAGAGTGACACCTATTACTTTGGCTTGCGGGGTGGGACTGATGGTGGCATTGTTGGTCATGATGGAGAGGGTTGGGGGGGCGTGGGCTGGGTGGAAGATTAGGAGCTCTGTGTTTGGAAAGGCTCAGTTTGAGGAAATGGAGCGACATCCAGTCTGATATGTCGTTCAGCAGGTGGGTGTTACGGATGGAGACTGAAGGGGTGAGGTGAGGGGTGGAGAGGTAAATTTGTGTGTCATCTGCGTAGAGGTGATAGTTGAAGCCGTGGGAGTGTATCAGTTTGCCGAGGAAGGAGGTGTAGATGAAGAAGAAACGAGGCCCAAGGACAGACCCTTGGGGGACCCCAACAGAGAGGGGGAGAGAGGGGGAGGTGGTAGCATTATAGGTAACGCTGAAGGAGCGCTGGGATAGGTAGAAGGAGAGCCAGGAGAGAGCAGAGTCTCTGATGCCGAGGGAGTGTAGCTTATTAAGGAGGAGGGGGTGGTCAACTGTGTTGAAGGCCACAGAGAGGTCAAGGAGTAAAAGGACTGAGTAGTGGCCATTAGTTTTGGTGGTTAGCAGGTCATTAGTGATTTTGAGTAGGGCGGTTTCGGTGGAGTGCAGGGGATGGAAGGCAGACTGTAGTGGATCGAGGAGGTTGTTGTCAGTGAGGTGGGTGCTTAGATGATTGTAGACTAAGCGCTCAAGGAGCTTGGAAGTAAATGGCAGCAGGCAGATGGGTCTAAAGTTGTTCAGGTCGGTGGGGTCCGGGAAGGGTTTTTTGAGTATAGGGGTGATGTGCACATGCTTTAGGGGGGAGGGCAATGTGCCAGCAGAGGGAGAGATTGAAGATGTGGGTGAGGGAGCATAGGATGAAGGAGGAGGGTGCCCGGAGAAGCTGTGTGGGGACAGGGTCAAGGGGGCAAGTGGTGAGGCGGGCTTCTGAGAAGACCTTGGTGACCTCAGTGGTGGCAAGGCTGAAGGAGCGGAGTGTTGGGGAGGTAATAGTGTGTGGGATGTTAGATGTGGTGGGGGGCAGGGCGGTTGCAAGGTCAGAGGAGGGGAGAGTTGGTGGGGTTATGGTGGGAGGGAGGCTAGGTGGGGAGGTAGCTTGAACATTGGTGATGTCCTTACGGATTGCGTCGATCTTATTTTGGAAGTGATTGGCAATCTCGTGGGAGGTGAGTGAGGTACTGGGTGGGGGTGGGGGGGGGGGGGGGTGAGAGAGAGTAGGGAGTTGAAAGTGGAGAAGAGCCGGCGAGGACTGGAGGAGACTTCAGACAGAGCGATATCATATTACCCCTGTACAAATCATTAGTAACACCTCATCTGGAATATGCAGTTCAGTTTTGGGCACCAATTCACAAAAAGAACACTGAGGAACTTGAGAAAGTACAGAGAAGGGCAACTAAACTGATATGAGGCATGGAGGAGCTCAGCTATGAGGAAAGATTAGAGGAACTGAATTTATTCTTTCTTGAGAAGAGGAGATTAAGGGGGGATATAATCAACATGTATAAATACATCAGTGGTTCATAAAGTGAACTCGGTGTAGAGTTATTCACCCTGAGGTCATCACAGAGGACAAGGGGGCATGCTTTACATCTGGAAGAAAATAAATTTAATCTCCAAACATGGAAAGGTTTCTTCACAGTGAGAGCTGTGAAAATGTGGAATAGACTCC